AAGAAATATGATATTCTTATTATTGGGGATGTGCATATCCCCGTTGAGGTAACATAGTGTTATTCGAAATTTCTCCAGTTCCATGTTATTCGGAATGAGTTCGTTAACAAGACTTGATCAACCTTGTTAGTGGATTCCTTTTGATGATCATGAGATGGATGAAACTAGAAGGCACAACCTTCTGTACCCCACTTTTACTTTCTGATATTTATATTAAATAAAATAAAAATAAATATTTTCCTGTCTGTTATCTGATTATCCGTGCAATATAAAAATACCTCGAAAATAAAAGTTCTTCAAATGCCCTGAAATTTAAATATGTTTTTTCTAGAATATTTGAAAATATTTGGCACAAAGAACACAGCAGGGGGCCAACCACCTGCCCACGAGGGTGGAGGGCACGCCCTACCCCCCTGGGTGCGCCCCCCTGCCTCATGGGCCCACAGTGGCCCTCCTCCACTTATCCTTTCACCCATACACTCCTTCTTCCTCCCCCAAACACGAATATCCAGCTCAAACCCGAGTCCAAGCTCGTTTTGCTGCCATTTTCGATCTCCTTGCTCAAAGCACCTCTCACAAAACTGCTTGGGGAGATTGTTCCTTGGTATGTGACTCATCCATTGGTCCAATTAGTTTTTGTTCTAGTGCTTTATTCATTGCAATTTTTTGCTGCTTAGGTGACCCTCTTCTTGAGCTTGCATGTCAAATTTATATGGTCAAAAGTAGTTTTGATGCATGATATAGGCTCTAGGCACTTGTAGGAGTAGTTGCTATCCATTAAATCTGAATTTAGAGATTTTCTTGCTAGTATAACTATGGGAGAATCTAGAGATATAACACAAGCTACCATAGGGAGCATTCACTTTCCAGCTATATATTATTTTGCTCTCTTCATAGGTAGATGCACTAATGGTAAAGATGAGGCATGTCACATGTGTGTCCCTGACCTCAGTATTCTTCGGAGTGATGTGTTAGGAGACAAATCTTATAATTTGGGAGCCATTGTTGCACGTAGGTTGCATCTTAATAGATTTAATGGAGATTTCTTTGGTGGAATTTATGCAACCCGCATAGCTAATTTTCTTGGTGTACCATACACGAAGATGATATTGAATTACCTCCTGCTTATCTAGATTTTAATGCTATGGTTCACCACCAGTTTGTCGAGAGGAACGAATCACCTCTCCAGTATCGACTAATCTTTGACAGACGCCGTGCTGTCTGTATTACTCTCCCTGCTCCTGCCTTCTTTGATTATCAGGCAAGAGGAAGATATACTATTACCAGAGAGGAGGCAGATGAGTACGAGAGGAGAGCGGAGGCCGCTCATCGCGACGTTGCAGCTCAGCAGGCGATAGCCGCTGCATCGTAGTACGACCCCAGCTACTATTATGGATATCCGCCAGGCCAGCCGTGGCCATAGACCAACTTAGGCCAAAAGCCTAAGCTTGGGGGAGTGCGTATTTCCCACCGACATTACATTTATATTCACACACTCATTGCTAGATGTCGGTGCTCATAGTTTTTCATTGTATCATCCACGCTAGTTTATTTCCCTTTTTATGCTTTCTTCTTGTGTGTTTAACCTTAAGAAAAACCAAAAAAAATTAGTTGTAGGTTTTAATCAGTTTAATTTCCATGCTTGTAGTAGTAACTAAAAAGAAGAAAATCCAAAAATATTTCCTGTTCTTCTTTTGCTTATTGGGAGCTTTCCCGTGTAAATAGTTTTATTTCTTTTCTTTTCTTTGGGGGTCGATAGGAGAAGACCATGACGAAATTGTTGAAGTGGCTCTTATTTGCATTATTGTTGATCTGAGAAAAGAGCCCGTATTGCCTTCTCTTCTCCTGTTTATTGAATGCCTGCAGATTCCAGCTTAGTCCAATGCACGTGCACTATTATTATTATTCACATCGTTCGGTCGTGCAAGTGAAAGGCAATTATGATGATATATGATGGACTGGCTGAGATGAGAAAAGCTCGTACGAACTCGACCTCTTTTGTTTTTGTAAATATGATTAGTTCATCGTTCCTGATTCAGCCTATTATGAACAAACATGTTTGCAATGACAACTAGAGATCATAGTTTCTTGTGCCATGCTTGATTAGATATGAGTTATAATGGTTTACCTTGCGTGCCAACATGCTATTGAGATGGTTATGATGTCGTATGATAGGGTGGTATCCTCCTCTGAATGATTTAAGTGACTTGACTTGGCGCATGTTCACGCATGTAGTTGAAACAAAATCAACATAGCCTTCACGATATTTATGTTCATGGTGGATTATATCATACTCATGCTTGCATTCGGTGTTGATTAATTTTAATGCATGTTCATGACTGTTGTCGCTCTCTAGCTGGTCGCTTCCCAGTCTTTTGCTAGCCTTCACCTGTACTAAGCGGGAATATTGCTTATGCATCCAATCCCTTAAATCCCAAAGTTATTCCATATGAGTCCACCATACCTACCTATATACGGTATCTACCTGCCGTTCCAAGTAAATTTGTATGTGCCAAATTCTAAACCTTCAAATAAATATCATGTTTTGTATGCTCTAATAGCTCATATATCAACTAGGGTTGTCTGTATCTTCCATGTTAGGCGGGTTATTCTCAAGAGGAGTGCACTCCGCTCCTCACTCACGAGATAAATGGCTGGTCACCGGGATGCCCAGTCCCATGCTTTATGCAAACTAAATCAAAATAATTGCAAACAAAACTCCCCCTGGGACTCTTGTTAGTTGGAGGCACTCGTTGTTTGGAGCAAGCCATGGATTGATGCTTGTTGGTGGAAGGGGGAGTATAAACTTTACCATTCTGTTTGGGAACCGCCTATAATGTGTGTAGCATGGAAGATATCACCATCTCTTGGTTGTTATGTTGACAATGAAAGTATACCGCTCAAAATATTATTCACCTCTGTTTCAAAACCGAGCTCTGGCACCTCTACAAATCCCTGCTTCCCTCTGCGAAGGGCCTATCTATTTACTTTTATGTTGAGTCATCATCCTCTAATTAAAAAGCACCAGTTGGAGAGCACCGCTGTCATTTACATTCATTATTGTTAGTTTACATTGAGTATGACTTGACTGGATCTCTTTTACCATGAATTACAATGTCTAGTCAGTCCTTGGTCTTTAAAGGTGCTCTGCATTTATGTTTTGCGGTCTCAGAAAGGGCTAGCGAGGTACCACCTTGTATATTATATTATGATTGTTTTGAGAAAGTGTTGTCATCCGAGATTTTTTTATTATGGCTCGCTAGTTGATTATGCTACTGATATGAGTAAACTTGAGACCTATGCGTTATTGCAAATGTGGTTAGTTATAATCTTTGCTGAAAACTTGAATGCTGGCTCTACATATTTACAACAATAAGAGCAAACAGAGTTTGTAAAAGTTTTCTTATCACTTTCAGTTTGTCAACTAAATTGCTTGAGGACAAGCAAAGTTTTAATCTTGGGGGAGTTGATACGTCTCCGTCGTATCTACTTTTACGAACACTTTTGCTCTTGTTTTGGACTCTAACTTGCATGATTTGAATGGAACTAACCCGGACTGGCGTTGTTTTCAGTAGAATTACCATGGTGTTATTTATGTGCAGAAACAAACATTCTCGGAATGACCTGAAACTTCACGGAGCAACTTTTCAGAAAATATGAAAAATACCTGCAAAAGATGAAGGCGAGGGGGCCGACCACCTGTCCATGGGGGTGGGGGCGTGCCTGCCCCCCTAGGGCGCGCCCCCTACCTCGTGGCCCCCTTTTGCCTCTCTAACTCCGACTCCAACTCCATATATTGTGTTTCGAGGAGAAAAAAATCAGAGAGAAGAAATCATCGCGTTTTACGATACGGAGCCGCTGCCAAGCCCTAAAACCTCTTGGGAGGGCTGATCTGGAGTCCGTTCGGGGCTCCGGAGAGGGGAATCTATCGCCATCGTCATCATCAATCATCCTCCATCACCAATTTCATGATGCTCACCGCCGTGCGTGAGTAATTCCATCGTAGGCTTGCTGGACGATGATGGGTTGGATGGGATCTATCATGTAATCGAGTTACACTACAAGAAATATGTCAACTTGTGACCTTGACTATTGGTCACTAAAAGGTCATTGTTTTTCATTTGTGACCTTTTTGTGACCAAAAACAGAAGGTCAAAAGCTGACGGTCGTAAACTGAAATTAACGACCTTCTCTGTGGGAAGGTCGTGGACGTTTACGACCAAAATATGCCTACTGTTTTGTTTTGGTCACTAGCAGCCTCCCCAAACCACGTAGGCATCCGACGTGGCAATCTGATGTGGCACAAGAATCAGCCCGGTCCAATTCGGTGTTTATATGGGCCGAGCCCATTAATTCAGCCCATTTATATTTTTTTTTCCTGTGAATTTTTTGTCAGCTTCATGGTCATTGCAGCCTTTTTATTTTTGGCCCATGGCCTTTTTGTCTCAACAGTTTCATTTTTTCTTTTTTTTCTAAATTGGGTTCACTAGTCAGGTGGGTCCCCATTGTCAGGTTCTAGTGCTGGGTCCTAGCCATCAGGGCAATATTCTTCATTGTTTTATTTCACGCAAATAAATACCCGGTATTTAAATTGGCACACGAAAAACACACGAAATACTTCAAATATTATCAACCATCAAAGTGCTACATCATATAACACACATACAAATGTGATTAGCATCAAGTTTACAATTAGATAACAAGCTACGCAATAGGAGCAGTTTACATCAAGGTTACAGTTAGATGAAATCATATGCACGACTCACTAGGCGACCATAGTCGACTAGGCCACCTTCGCTACACTAGAACAGCAATAGAACTATCATCATGCCTTCGGGTGTCGACCTGTTACATGAATCAGAAGAGAAGAATTAAAACACTAGAGCCAATATATTATGAACAGACATATTATATAAATATATTATGAGGTTCAAAAAAGTTTTATTGTAAACGCATAGTTCTGGTCAACAACACTAACAATTTCAGATCAGATTCTGGAACTACCACTAGGAATTCAGTAAATTGACAGTTTGAGATCCAGTTCAAAATGTTTTAGATCAGTTTCAGACCAGATTCTGGAACTACCACTAGGAATTCAGTAAATTGTATGGAGGTTCAAAATGTTTTATACTATAATAAAGAGTTTTATTGATTAATTGTATTTCTGGTTCAACAAACGGTTTAAGATCCAGTTCTACATAGGGTACTGGAATTACCCCTAAGAATACTAACCACGTATGGAGGTTTAAAATGTTGTACTGTAAAAGAGTATTATTGATTAATGATGTTTGCTGCATACCCTGAGAGTCTCTAGTTCCTGGTTCAACAAGAGCTGGCGCTGAAGGGCCTGGTTCTCCTCCGCCATCTTGATCCTCCTCGTCCGTATCTTGGACTGGACCCAGGACAGAGTCTGCATGCAGCGAAGCGTACTGGTGGCCTGGCGCTTGACGGAGTGGCCTTGGACTAGAGACTTGAGTCTGACCAGGCCTTTCGATGCCCACAGCACCCTTCTCGCCTGGATAGATAGATATTTATACATGGGCAAATAGATATTAGTAATTCTCTCGTCACTCTCACTCGCCAGATATTCATGCATGGGGGAATGGATAGCAGCAACTCAGACGGTACACTCATAGTATCAGTAAAAAATGCTTGCTAGTATGTGTCAAGAGAAACCCTGAACCTGAAAGCTCAGGCTGCTGCTTATTTTGTTACTGTGTGGTAAGTACTACTAAGATCAAAATGCATTCAAGGGAGCATAAAAGCCATCCCCATTTGAAGCATGTATAGTCTACAGAGATACTAACAGGTGAACAGACAGCCCCTAGAAATTGGCTAACTACTTCTACTGTATAATATGCAGTCTACAGAGATACTAACTACTTCTACTGTATAATCATAGTCTGCAGTCACTAAATAAATCAAAGGTGTATGATGGAAATACAGCAAAATAGTCCAGATAACTTGTCGATTAAGAGACTAATGAAACCAGTCACTCTAAGCATACTAGAGCTTCAAACCAGTTCATTTAGTTGAACTAAAGAGGGTCACAAAATACCCTAAAGGGTGCCCATTTGCACTCCTACACTCGAACACACACACACACACACACACACACACACACACACAATGGATACTTTTGAGATTCACATGCACATTCAGTAAATGCAGTGAAATTCAGTAAACATGGAGTACAGAAGAGAGGTTCAGACTTCAGACACAGGCTGTAGGCGCTGGTGACAGAGATGATCCAGGTTGTAGGACTTGGAGATGAGCTGCAGCAGTGGAGAAAACTTGTAGCCGCCGCCACTGCTGCCAGGTAAGCAGGCACGACCCACTGGACAGCCCAGCCGCGGTGTCACAGTAGCAGTAGCAGGTGTTCAATTAGTCAAGCAGCAAGCCACTAGGCCTGGGCATTCGGTAGAAACCGAAATTTCGGTTTCTTCTGTTCGGTTTTTTTGTGAATTCGGTTTGCAGAAGTGAAAACCGAATTTGGTACTAAAATTTAGCTAACCGAAATTTTGGTTAACCGATTTTTTCGGTTCGGTTTTCGGTTTAAATTGAATTGTGTACTATGTACAGAAAATGCACTTTCAGGACATATTGATAGCAACATCAACATGCATGGTTGAAAGAAAAAATTTGACGGCATAACAAGACAAAAATGTAAAATGCGTATAACATATTCTCATCTTTTCAAATATCACATAATATCAAATACAAGGATTTCAGAACAATGACAGATGCATAACCAATCATCAAATGTAAAACTACCAAAGTCCACACTGAAAAGTGATAAGCCCTAGTGATAAGTGACAAACTGACAAGTAAAAGTAATAGAGCCAAGTTCATGTTCCAGATTTCCAGCCCAACACATAACCAAATTGGCAAATTCCAAGTTGCAGGACACATAACCAAAGTCCAAGTTGAACAAAACACAACCAAGTCTAAAGTTTACTTATTATTACACTTCAAACACAAGCACATAGGAAGGAGATTGAAGTGCATTTCAAGAGTAGCCACAAATAAGAATCCCAATTTGCCATCATGAACAGGAACATCTTGACATGTCCAGAGAATCTTGCCCATCCCAGCTTCTAGCCAAGCGTTGCGAATCTGTAATGTTGTGTGCATGACGCAGAATTCGGTTAGAATAGATAGTACATGACACAGAATTCAGATAAAATAACTATATATATACATGTAAAATAGAATAGCAGATGGCACATTACAAGGTTTGACATGATTCGATTAAAAGAACTACATATATGTAAAACATAATATGTTGGACTATATGTACCTAAAGAGTAAAGAGTAATCTGAAGATCTTTTCTTCATAAGAGTTTCCCACAGATTTTTGAAAACAAAGTACATGAGGTTCATGAAATAACATTTGTATTACAACAACATTTACATGAGGTTCATCGCAGCAAGTGAGCAACATATTCATTTACATGGCTGTGTTGTGCATCTTTTGAATCATACATCAGAAAATAAATAAAAGAATGCTAAAAACATGAACAAGAGCAGGACAATTTCTTGCAACTCACTCACCCATGTTTAAGTAGAGGATGGAGGTGGGCAAGATGGCACAACCCCAGATGGCTTGCAAACAGACTTGCTACTGCTTGCTTTTGACTTGGATGAATTTGTACTACCGAACTCTTCAATTAGTTCTGAAAAAGAATGAAATGAACATGTAATAAGCATAGGAAGTTAGAAATATAGAAAATTACATAGAAAACAATCACAATATGTTACCCTTTTCCAATCTTAACAATTCCTCCTCATCTTCTTCAATGTTGATAGTAATAGAACCCCTTAGCCAATCTTGGGCACAAACAAGAGCTTGGAACATGAATGGTGTAAGAGAGGTTCTAAATTCATTTATAATGCGACCACTTGTGCTAAATGCCGACTCAGACGCAACCGTTGATACCGGAACAGCCAACACATCACGGGCCATTCTAGCCAATATTGGGAATCTAGCAGCATTGTCCTTCCACCATTTTAGAATGTTAAAATCATCCCTATTTACTTCATTCTCTTCATGTAGGTATTTCTCAAATTCCGATTTGCTCATGCTAGCTTCACCATCAGCACCAACTCTCCACTTTTTATTTATTCGAGACAGCAATTTCCTTCCTTCCCTTTTTTGAGTTGGTTCAGATTGTGGAGCATCACATGCTTGCTTACATCACTTGGTGCATACTTAGCTTTGTACTCTTCAAACAAAGCATGCATAAATGTTTTCACCGCCTCCCAAGCTTTGCCTCCATTTAATTCACCATACATTTCTTCAATTGCTAGTTTTGTGAAATTTGATAGCTTGAATCTTGGATCAAGAACAGTTGCAGCAAATACAAACATGTTCACATTCTCCTCTTCCTTTTTCTTTCCTTTCCCCTTCCCCCTTTCATTCTCCACCTCCTCATGCCAATGTCCCCAATACTTATCGTACTTATCTTGCATTTTCTTGGCCATTGTTTTGCGCAAAATATCATCACTATCAGCCCACTCTTCCAACACAACATTGATTTCAGCAATATCCATAACAAATTGGTTCATGGTCACATGAAGTGTGGCGGAAACACTAAGAGTAAGGTGATAAAACTGTCCAAGAAATTCAGCCATTTTCGTAGCATTCTCTCAATCACTATCAACAGGAATACCAGGACCTTTCTCACTAGTTAAATCCAATGTATAGAGTGGATCTTCTTCCTCATACCTCGCAAATACTTTCTCAAAGTTGATTGCGGTTGCTAACATTAGGTATGTGGAATTCCATCTAGTGCATACATCCAAACTCAAGAATGCCTCGCTGTCCACCTTTTCTAACTGAGCAAGTTCTTTAAATCTTGTAATTCTAGATGGCCCATGTCTTATATATCTAACCACAGCTCGCACACGCTTAATTGATTCATCCAACTCTTTTAGACCATCAGTAACAATCAGATTTATAATATGTGCAGCACATCTCATATGAAAATATTTACCTTCAGCTATGCTATTTCCAGTTTTGATCATTTTCTTCCTTATGTAACCCACACCACCATCATTCGCGCTAGCATTATCAATAGTTATTGTCATAACGTTTTTTATTCCCCACTCCATCAAGCATTGCTCTATGGCTTTTCCTATATCATCTCCCTTATGACCTTTCACTAGGAAAAAACTAATGATTTTCTTGTGCAAATTCCATTCAGGATCAATAAAATGTGTCGTGACTGTCATATAGCAATCTTGTGTTTGAGAAGTCCAACCATCAGTAGTGAGACACACTCTTTGACATGATTGTTTGAAAAAAAGTTTCAGCTTCGCTCTCTCTTCAAAATAAACCTTCACAACATCCCTTGTGCATGTTCTTTTAGAAGGCATATTGAAACGTGGACATGCAATTGACATCACTTCTCTAAAACCAGCTTTTTCAGTAAATGCAAATGAAGCTCATCTACTATAATCATCTTAGCAATAGCTTTCCTTAGTGCTTCGGGATCAAATTTATGCACTGAAGGACTTTCCCCTTGGATAACTTGCAAAGTACCTTGATTCTTATTCTTATCATTATGAGGATTATACTTGCAAGTATTAAAATGACTCTTTAAGGCAGATGTACCATTAACCTCTGAAACGGCCTTGATATCACGGTTGCAATGCTTGCACTTTCCAAACTTGAGCATACCATCAACTAGTACCTCAGAAAAGTGATCCCACATCGGTGATCTTTTCTTCATCTGCCTTCTTGTAGGTCGTTGCTCCATCTCCTTTTCCTTTTCATACTCATCAATCTTTCTTTGTTCTTCCTCATAAACTCGCATCTCCTCTTCGGTCATGCCATCACCAAGTCCACCAGGTTCAACCATCTACAAAATAGTAGCATAATTAGAATTCATGTCATCATTCTTCTATACTAATTAATTCAGAGAAGAATTAAATAACATGTTCCTTATCAGCAGCTTCCAGCAAGTAATAACAGATTAGGAATTAAAAGAAGCCGGCAGAATCATATGACAACATAAAAGTAAACTGACCATATTAATAATTCACAGACTACTAATGGTTACGGCATGGGATTGGGACAGTATTCAACCAAGCGAAAATGTGGCAGCAGACATTATCTCTTTGGATTAAACTCTGAGTGATATACACTATACAGTCATTTTCCATTCTGCTTCTGCAATACATTAAAAGCTGAATCCACTCCACTATAGTTCAAATGTTATTTTCACGACAAGATAATAGAAGCATTCACAAATTGTATTTGTGAATAGTTAAGTCATCCAAGTAGGATTTCCTAGTGATATACGCAGAGATGTCAACACTCGACAGTGGAGCAGCACAAAAGATGGCATCCATAGACAGAATGAGAAAAAACTAAACAACAAGAGCATCCAGATTCCAGATCCACCTTTACCATCTACTCACAAAGAACAAAAAAAACTGGAGACAAAGGATGGGGGATTGAGCTTATTACGTTGACTGAATGCTCTGTTTCTGCTGTGGAAGACATGATGACGAATTGGAGGCCGAGATGCCCGA